CTCGCCCGGCTCTGGCCTCGCGTCTCCCGGCTCTGGCCCGGCTCTGGCCCGGCTGGTCCCGGGTCCGGCCCCGCTTGGCCCGGCTCGTCCCGGGCCCGGCCTCGCCCGTTCCCTTTCCCGCTTCCCCGGTTTTACCCATTTCCCTGTCCCGGATCCACCGCTTCTTCCTTTTCCCCCGGTTTTCCCGGTTTCTCCCCGATTTTCCCGGTTTTTCCCCGATTTTCCCGGTTTTTCCCCGATTTTCCCGGTTTCTCCCCGATTTTCCCGGTTTTTCCCCGATTTTTCCCGCTGTCCCGCTGCGTTTCTCCCGGGTTTTCCGCTTCCCGGCCCGTCCCGGTTCCGTTCCCCGCTCCCTGCCCGCTTTTCCCGCATTCAGTCCCGGTGTCCCGGTGTCTCCTGAGCTCCGATCCCCGCGGGTTTCTCCGGCCCGATCCCGTTCTCACGGGTTTTTCTCCCGCTTTTTCCCGTTCTCACCGGGATTTCTCCCGCTTTTCCCCGTTCTCACGGGTTTTTCTCCCGCTTTTCCCCGTTCTCACCGGGATTTCTCCCGCTTTTCCAGCTCTACCGGTTCCTGGCTCGCCGCACCAACGCCCCGTTCAACCGCGTGGTGCTGAAGCGCCTGTTCATGAGCCGCTCGAACCGGCCGCCGCTCGCTCTGTCCCGCCTGGTGAGCCCCAAAAACCCCGAAATTCACCCCAAAACCTCCCGGGGTCCCGGCTTCATCCGGGGGGATTCCGGCCGGGTTTGGGGGGGTTTTGATTTGGAGCTTTTTAATTTAATTTTTTAATTTTAATTTGGAGCTCCTGGCTTTTCCTCACGGCATTCCTCGGTTTGCAAAGCTCCCCGTGGATTTTTTTCCTGGTTTTAGTGGCTTTTCTTTTGGTTTATTTATTTTTTCCTGTGCAGTTTCAGGTTTTTGGTTGTTTATTATTCTCCCGCAGGATTTTGTTGTTTTCCTGCGGAATTCTGCTTTTCCCCAGGGCTTTTTCGTGCTTTGAAACGACATTTTTGGGGTTGCTTTTAGAATTTCCGGGCTTTTCTTTGAAATTTAGCCCTGGAAGATTTCGGGCTTCGCCCGCGGAATTTTCCCGTTTTGGTTTTTTTTTTTCCCGAGGAACTTTTTTGCTGTTTCCTCGTAGAACCTCGAGGGATTCTCCGGGGGGGTTGTGGGGTTTTCCCGGGGGCTTTTTGGGGTGTTCCCATGGGAATTTGGGGTTTATCAGATCCGGATGATGCGGAAGCCGGGCCGGGCGGATAAAACAGCCGTGGTGGTGGGGACGGTCACCGACGATGTCCGCATCCAGAACGTGCCCAAACTCAAGGTTTGGGGGGAAATCGGGAATTCCGGGGGAAAATCGGGAATTCCGGGGGGTTCCACGGGAGTTTTGGGGGAAAATCGGGAATTCCGGGGGGTTCCAGGGGAGTTTGGGGGTTTTTTTAAGGATTCTTTCGGAATTTCGGGGCTGGGTTTGGGGTTGTTCGGGAGGGTTCCGGTGTTTTCATGGAGGGTTTGGGGGGATTTGGGGTCTTTGTACGGTGCTTTGGGGGCTTTTGGGGGGGTTTGGGGGATTTTTGGGGCGGTTTTGGGGCGGTTTTGGGGGTGATTCCGGGGTGTTCTGGGGTGATTTTTGGGGCGGTTCCGGGGTGTTTTAGGTTGATTTTTGGGGCGGTTTCGGGGTGTTTTAGGATGATTTTTGGGGTGTTTTAGGGTGATTTTGGGGCGGTTTGGGGGCGTTCTGGGGTGATTTTGGGGCGGTTTGGGTTGTTCTGGGGTGATTTTGGGGTGTTCTGGGGTGATTTCGGGGCGCTTTCGGGGCCGCCGTCCCCCCAACGCAGGTGTGCGCGCTGAGGGTGACCCGCGGCGCGCGGAGCCGCATCCTCCGGGCCGGGGGCTCCATCCTCACCCTGGACCAGCTGGCCATGGCCACCCCCAAGGGCAAGGGCACCGTGCTGCTCTCAGGTGGGGACCTGGGGACCCCCGGGACACCCCCAGAGCCCTGGGACACCCCAGGACACCCCCAAACCCCCGTTTCCCCCCAGGGCCCCGCAAGGCGCGCGAGGTCTATCGGCACTTCGGGAAGGCACCGGGAACTCCGCACAGCCACACCAAGTGAGGGGCTGGGGGGGATTCTGAGGAGGAATTTGGGGGTCCTGGGTGGAATTTGGGAGGCCCTGGCTAAGATTTTTGGCGGTCTGGGGCGAGGATTTTGGGAAATGCTTTGTTGGGAGGGCTTGGGGTAGGGGTTTTGGGGTCTGGGATGGGTTTTGGGGTCTGGGATTGGATTTTGGGGATATTTTGGGGTCTGGGATGGGTTTTGGGGATATTTTGGGGTCTGGGATGGGTTTTGGGGCTGTTTTGGGGTCTGGGATGGGTTTTGGGGATGTTTTGGGGCTGTTTTGGGGTCTGGGATGGGTTTTGGGGCTGTTTTGGGGCCGTGCCCCACTGACCCCGTTCTCCCCAGGCCCTACGTGCGCTCCAAGGGGCCGAAGTTCGAGCGGGCTCGGGGCCGCAGGGCCAGCAGGGGCTACAAGAACTGAGACCCCTCCCCAAAATAAACGGGGGGAGGAGCCCCCTCCCCCCAAAACACCAACCCGTGTCTCTGTGTGCTGAAATCCCAAAAAACAGTGAAAATCCCCTGAAAAACCCCAAAACCACCCCAAAAACTGATCCTGGGGGAGGGGAACGAAGAAAAATTCCCTGATTGGCCTCAAAAACTCAACTTTAGTGGACTGAGACCCCCCCAAAAACACCCAATTTCCCCATGGATTCCCAGATTTCTCCCCCAAAAATGCACATTTTCTACCCAAACCTTTCAACTGTCCTCCCAAAATCTCATTTACCAAAAAAATCTCTTTTTTTTACTTCTAAAAATCCCCTTTTTTTACCCCTAAAAATCCCCTTTTTCCCCCCAAACAAACGCCGCCTTTCGGGGAGGGGGGGGGGT